ATCAGCTTTTGATTAACGAAGATAACTTATTAGTATGATTTTGTGACCTTGCAGACTTTTAGTGTTTATAATCATTATAGGCTCGTTTCAAAGGCTTCGAATCAATCCTTTCGTTAAAATCGGTCAAACAAGAATTAAAATTTCATTGGTTTAGTATGTTTTTTGAATGGGACTTGTGGTGGTTTGGGACTTTGGTCTGGGATGTAATTCATGGAAAGCTAGCCAGAACGAAGATATACTGAGCGGTTGGTTCGATTCCGGGTTCGTCTGCCTTGGTCCAAGTTTTTCTGTGGTTTCGTTGGATCACTTAGGTAAATGCTGGGGTAGTAATATTCCACAGATAATCTTTCATTCTCTTGTGTCTTCATTTCGTCCATCTCATCTTTCTCACCCGAACCACCACTCACCCATTCCCACGATTCCTGAATGAAAGCTGAAGAGGGTCTTCCGCCCTAACTTCCGGAGTAGTCCAGAACTGCCCGCCCACCAGCGTTAGTGGCTGGTGGGAATGAAACACCCAAAAGTTTTTAGAACGAATATATATGAACCACTAACTACAGTGGTTTCGGCAAAATCATTATTACGTGCATCCAGCTCTGAGGTTCGGTCTCTTTTGTAGCGCATCCATGGCTATGTAGAGATATGGGTGATTTTTAACTTAAAATACTGATCACACAGCATCCTCTTGGTTATCCTTTTATACAAACCTGCCAATATATGTGTAACGATTATTTGCCCTATTGGATTTCGTCACCCTGTGTATCAATATTTTTATTTATCTGCTGTACACCTAATTGCCTTTTACGATGTAGTAAATTACGTTCACAGTTCGCTACTATGAAGCATATACAGAAATATATATAGTTCCGTATAAATCTCGATTAAAGCATTGTTCTTTTCCAAGGAGTGGTAAGAACCGTGTCGAAGTCTAGACACAACATTTCACTGTATGGTAAAATATTATTTAAAATATTCTCATAGACTTCGTCAGCTCCCATCAAATCGTTCATATCGCGAGAAATCAATAAAAGATTCCACATTAGATTCGGATAATCCTTGATGCGGATAAGTTTCAATCGATGCGGTTTAACTGGATTAGCTGACGATTTTTTGCGTCCGTACGCCGAAGGTGTTTCTGTATGTCCTTTTATAGTTCACAGACATAAAAACTTTGGTTGGATCCGAGCCAAATCGAAGCCGCACCTGACGCAAAGTTAACAGCCTCTTTCTTCGCGTCCAATACCACAAATTTCAATATAGAAAATTTTTACCGCCGTCTTCTGCTTCTATTAATACGCGACGCATTCGTTTACTAACATTGCGGTTATTACTTTTAGTACAGTACGTACCTACTTAATTCCATGGTTTTATGACATACGCGTATGATACTTGATTTCTGAATGGTCATCCCGTGTGTGAATTCGGTTCCAAGGACGCGAGGTAAACGGCCAGATGGACTTCTAAAATTACATCGCCGTAACACGGAATCCACGAAATCGAAAGTGAATTCCTTTCACGGTTGCGACCATCCATGCATGATTTGGTTACATACACCTTCGGACACACACATAAAGATTTAGATGCTTATCTCAAGATATGATGCGAGATAAAACCGGTGGATCCATTAAACCAACTCATTCGTATTAAAATAAGCAATCGATTACCAAAACAATCAAACATGAATGAGAATGAAGTGAGGAAGACTAACTAAAAGAGGGGATGTCTATCTAAGTGGTTTATCAAGGCGTTTCAAGATGTCTCATTTCGTTCTAAACATTCAGGAATTCCCTTTGTATTTTTTGTTGCTGTGTTGCTCTTAAATGTCCGACCTCTGCTGAATAGTACTTGCACCAAATGAACCCTCTGGACTTTTAATCAATCACGTCGTGATATCCCCAAGTTCTGGATCTTAGCGCTCTAGCAAGATACCCAAGTCTGAGGGTCTTGCTAAGAGAGTATCGGGTTAGTCTCGGTTTTGTTCGTTCAATTTTGGCCTTTGTCTTGCATTTTCGAATCAAGATCAAGATCATCTTGCTCGCTCCTGTGCCAATAAATGCTAGTTCCTAGTTTAAATTGAGAGAATATTTTTTAAAGTATTCTCCTAAATATTTCGAAATATTAATACACTTCAATGAAATCCCCGTGTTGTGTTCCCTATTGTGTGCTAAATTCGTAGCCGTATCTAGACCTAGGGCGATCATTATCCTTTCGTTCAACGGTAGCATCGGATCTGCGGATCTTCACGACAGGAATGTTATTATCTTCGTGATTACAAGTGTCAAATTGTGCACGGATCGCTGACATATACGACTCACGACTCGGTCGGTCCGTTCTCATGAATAATAGCGAATTACTGCATTATTCAATAGCAGCAGCAATAGCAGTAACAACAACAACAACAACGACAATGTACCCTGCAGGTTGAAACAAAAAAAGGGCTGCGCCCGGCCGGTAGGTTGGTACCGGTTCTTCCTCGACCCGCAACTTTCTTTCTTTACCTATAACAACTAGTGAACGCTTTCAACAAAACCGATGCGGTACGATGCGATGCTACATAATACAATACCTGCAGAGACGTAATACGTAATTTATTTGAAATAGTTCTACCCATTTAAAGTACAAACACGAAATACAAAATGCATATCTATTTGTATTATTTTTAAATACGAACCATCGAAGTTTGACTAATTTCCTTGACCCCGAAGACTATGAAGATATTATTTAAAGATTTTCTTTTATTTTTCTTTTTCGTATTGCTAGGGATGATGACTTTTTCGTTTAAATCTCCTCGCAAATATAAGTACGATCTATTTTATCTTGTACCTATGTGCATTTTCTCATGTACTACCGGAAAATCCTGTAAAAGGATTCTCATTACGTGTAACTTCAGATAAACGTATCTCGCGACTAGCACAAAAGAATAGAGCAAAAAGTAGCCCTGACATCCTGTAATCACCTAATTCACGTCTTCTGTCCTCTTTCGACGTCTCTCACGTCTCATTAAATTGATTCAAGGGATAGGTTGGTCCGGTAGTAATGTCGTTCGAGAACTACTTTTTATCCGACTCTTCCAATTCTATACACTCCTTTTACAAATCATTTATTGCTAGAGATAAAGCGGAAGCAGCTTGACTTCTTTTTTTTCTATCGATATCTATTACGATTGACCTATTCGGAACTCGGAAGCAATCAATCGACCTTTGAAACATTTTCATTTTCAACTATGTAAATTACGAAGCTTTTTATATACTTATATAGCGTAAGGATATCTCATGATGCTTCATGAAGCCTGTGAGCCACATGTACCTTGTATGCCTCATGTAGCGTGTGGCTTGCACGTCATGTCGGGTAAGGACTCATGTAGCATTCGGGCCTCATTTAGCGTGTGGGCCTCATGAAGCATGACAGACTTATTCTAAAGTGTGGCTTCGTGTAGCGTGTGAACCTCATGTAGCGTAGGGATTCATGATGTGAGCTTAATGAAACATTTGAGCCTTATGTAGAGTGTGGGCCTCATGAAGCTTGTGAGCATCTTGTAACGCATGAACTTCATATAGCGTAAGGACTCGTGAAGCATTTGGGTCTCATTAATTCAGCGTGCGAGCCTCATGAAGCATATGAACCTCATGTAACACATGGCTTCGTGCAGCGTGTGGACCTCATCTAGCGTAAGGACTCATGAAGTGTGTGGACTTCATGAAGCATTTGGGCCTCATGTAGCGTGTGGGTCTCATGAAGCATGTGAGCTTTATGCAACGTGTAGCCTCGTGCAGTGTGTGGACCTCATCTAGCGTAAGGACTCATGAAGTGTGTGGACTTTATGAATCATTTGGGCCTCATGCAGCGTGTGGGCCTCATTAGGAATGTGAGCTTTATGCAACGTATAGCTTCGTGCAGCGTGTAGACCTCATCTAGCGTAAGGACTCATGAAGTGTGTGGACTTCATGAATAATTTGGGCCTCATGTAGCATGTGAGACTCATGAATCATGCGAGCTTTAAGTAACGTGTGGCTTCGTGCAGATTGTGGGACCCGTACACCGTGTAGGTATGTATTCTTCTTTTAACGAAACTATGATATATAACCATAAAGCTATAAATCTGGTTAATATATGTTTATGCTTTATCCAGATCGTTTATAAACTAGCCAAATAAGCACTTTAACATTAGCATGTCATCTTTTCTATTTTCTCAGAAATTAAATGTCATCTGCATGGTCGGTTTCGCCAACATTACACAGTAACCATGAAGGAATTTCACTCGGTAACTTACTCACCATTGCAAACATAATTATTATTAATGCATGTGCCCATAATAATAATATTTCTAATGGGTGATAGTAGAACCGGTGTAATTTTTATTTTAATTAAAAATAAACGTCGGGTCAACGAAGATTTACCGTTAATTGATAAAAGATACTGGCTTGAAACGACTTAATAGTTGGAGTTGATGGTATAATAAAAATATACTGAAACTGAAATTGAAGATGTACGATAACGTGTTATTGCTTGGAAGCACTTAATTAAATTAAGTAGCATTTTTATAAAATTGACCGAATCTAGTAAATGGATTTAGTTTGTGGTTCAATGAAGAAAAGGTTCATTAAAAGTATTGTGCAGATAATAAAGTAAAGAAGCTTCATCTTTATGTTTTGTTTGTTTTATGACAGAAGAATTCCCAACCACTAAAAGTACGTAAAATAATTCAATGAAATTTGCCCATAAAAAGACAAATTAAATATTTAAATAATGCGCTCGACTGTTTATAAAAGTCCATGGTTAATTATTTTTAATGTATAAGAGACAAAGCTAATTACTTGATGTCATGAGTGTAATATTTCTTTATAATTAAGCAGTTGCTATGTATCAATTAATCAATTAATTAGTGCAGTATTTGTGTGAAGAAATGTAATAATAGACAATAAATTGTAAACTAAAAATAATTAGGTAAGTAATTAATGTATTATTAAGAAATATTTCTACAGAGTCTTCCCGAAACTTACCCCGCATGCTTGATTGGAGAAGCAATAATATTGGATTTGTAATAATTTTTTTCGAGGTCTTCCGCGTTCGTCGCGGGCGTCGACGCTGTAGGCGTCGTCGACGTCGCCTGAACGCCGACGCTTTCTTTCGACGCCTTCTGAAGATGATGCAGCGACTGCTGCTGCTGCTGGACGTGGTGATGATGAAGATGGAGCGACGAAAGAAGTTCGCGTCGTCCGGCGGAAACGTTCGCGATCGAGACGACGAAAATGAAAGACGTCGCGACGACTAGCATCGCGACGCCATCGGCCTGCGAACGGCATCGAAGCATACTGATTGCGTACTGATGGCATGCTGCTGGTTGATACACGTGCTCTCTTAGGATCACCAGCAGCAGAGACAGCAGCATGACCACCACCAGAAACCGCAAGAGAGGTAGCAGACTAGAAGCGGAGGGGTCAAGTGACAAGAAGGATGGAATTGCAACTTACCGAGATTAAAAACCACGAAGATCTATTCTTTGAGTTAGTTACATAATAATTCCAAAATTTTGTGGAATTACGAACGAATTATTTTCGGTTCTCGTAATCCCTTTGTCGAAATAAAAAACAGAATCCTAGTACCTATAATTTCCTTGATTTCTTTCACGACTATTTTTCCTCGGGGATGGTAAATGACCAGAAAAGTTTCTGAGTATGACCTTTCAAAATGTATTGATCAAAAAGTTCATTCAACATTCCCAGTTAACGAAAAATAACCTACAGGTTTTGATGACGTCAAAAAAACTGTGTTTGTTCTTTGGGTTTAAATGAAAGTTTAAATTTTTTACAGAACTATAAATTGTGTACTTTTTAATATTAATTTCAACTTAATACGTCTATTAGATTTTTTCGAAATAATAGTCTTTATAAGGAGAAAAAGTAGGATAACAGAGGGTGCTATGGAAGTCAATAAGAAATAGGGACGATATAGGTTGGTAGGACACCTTCTCAGGCATGCAGGGCTAGTTAGAGGATTAAAGGCACACCTAGAATGGATTACTGATCACAAATAGTTAAGGATGATGTGGGCTGTTGTAGTTTCAGGAAAATGCGAAGGTTAGGTCAGGATAGGAAAGAGTTGAAGGTGCGTGTCCAGCTAATCTTAGGACTAATGACTTTGCGGAAAGTCAAACCTCAAAAACAGCGCATACTAAGGGTTTTTCCTTTTTAAAAAGGAGAAACTTAAATGTGCTCTTCTCTGCATTAATTGAGCTTTTGAAGAGTTAGCGAAAATGCTTAAATCCATTTCGTTACAAGGATTATCTCAAACACTATTTCTGATAACCTCCTTCGTTACCATTGACAGACAAAAATTTTTTAATAGTTAAATACAAATAACCACATGAACTTAAAAATAGGCGAGTATGTTCTTCGGTATCATGCAATTTTTGATTATAGATTATTTTACTGTGTTGCAGTGTTTTGATATATAACTAGGTAAGACACTTAGCGCCCTTGAAAATGTATTATGAATGAAACAGTCTTGGGCCGTGCAAGCAGGAGCGCACAACGGGACTAACCTGGAATCGGTGAGATCAATACTCACCACCTGCTGCTGCCGCGATCGCTTGTGGAATGAAATGGATGCTAAACTAAACCACCCCCACAATAAACTCCGGCCTGTTTAAAATCTTCTGGCCCCACCGAATTGGGTTAAGGACGTTTGGGGGTATATCGCATCCGAGCGACCGAAATCCTAGAACTAAATACGTGTTTGTACATACGGTTTCGATAATTTTATCGCATCAGTAAAAGCATGGAATCCCGAAGTGGTGTATTATTTTTAATCAGTATGTTTACACTAGGTGTATGGTCATTTTCGTGACACAGTGGCGTAACAATCGATGAGCGGAAGAGGGTGAAGGTTTGGACCTTCCAGGATCCAAGGGGGACCGCAGGACCCAATAAAAAAATCCTTTATAATGCGCTGTATCATTAGCACATACTCTATAAGGCGTAAGAACCCGAAAGGGTCGACTTTTGACACAAATTTAGATGAGGTGAGATAGGGGGGGTTATAACAAGGTTTTTACTTGGTTCCATTAGGGGAAGGGAGAGACGCAGGACCCAATAACTCCTCTGATATGTGAAAGTAATTGTAGTCATTATCTATTTCTTAAAACTTTTAGTAATTGAATAAATTATCTTCATTACGTTAACCTTACAAAGATTTGGAATTAAGGTTAAAGTAGCGATTACAGCTTAAGATCACAAAGAATATGGGTCTTCTTCCATTTCATAAAACAATCAGTTTAGTAGAGTTTCTTAATATGATATCATAATTTAAACTTTAGTAAGTAACATTCTTGCGACCCGCCATTGATAGAGTTATTAATAAACACATTTAATTAAAGAATTAAATGAAGACATTGTGAGCTATTAGAGATGATACTGTCAGTTTGAAAGATAAATTTCAGCTAATAATAAAAACATTTACGAAGAAGACAATAAATAAAACAATTCTGATAAGAGAAGTTTTTAATAAAATACATTTGTGTGTAACAACCAACAGATATACATAAGTACAAATATTCTTTGTGATAAGGAAGAAGCACAACCTCATGCCACTGCCTGGTCTTCCTTTCCATCTTTGAACTCGCTTGGAGTATTTTTATGGACACATTAAAAGAATTAATGTTGAAATGCTAGTAATCGCCCCGTTCCCTCGACTCTAAATCACTTGAGCATATCAGTGGAGCGTCGTGGTAATTATTTGCACAATTTCTGTTCCTTTCCAATCTGTAACTGCGATATTGGAGGTAGAACAAGGCAATGATGCATATTAGAACGATTGAAACAAGGATATACAAAGCTACGATATCACCTCGATGCATATCAACGTATACGGAGGTTTCATAAGCTTCCTCAGATGTTGTGTCGACTTCTTCTAAAGGTTTTTCGGTACAAGGCTCAGAAGAATTGCTGATAAGGAGGGTAATGTAATCTGTCTCGAAATATTTAATAATTTTCGGAACAATTGAACAGTGTAGAGGATTATTCGTGATGTCCATGTGAGTTAATCTTGGTAAATGTGACACGATTATCTTATAATCTATATCTCGAATGCTATTGTTTTTAAAATCGAGTTCGCCCAGATTTGGAAGGGAAAGAATACCAGTCTTTTCTAAGTATTCGATTTTGTTGTAAGACAAATTGAGATGTCGAAGTTCTGGCATGCCACTGAAGTATCCGGTTTTAAAATCGGATATGGAGTTGTTTGAAAGGTCCAGATCGCGGAGAAGATGTAGACCTCTGAATAATTTCCTATGTATATCGAAGATGTGGTTGGATTTCAGACTGAGCACCTCCAAAAAGTACAGATTCAAAAACGAATCCGGATCTATGACTTCTATACCATTGAACGAAAGGTTCAATCGTTCTAAATGGGTCAGTGACTTAAATGCGTGAGGGGGTAAAACCTTGATGTTGTTTTCGCTCAGATCAAGATCACGTAGCGTTGGATTGCTGGTGAAACAGAAACTATCAATTTTAATTTTGTTGTGTTGCAACTTCATGATTTGAACGTTAGCCAAAGGAGCGAAGTTGCCGCAAATATTTTCGATGAAATTGTGATCTAAATACAATTCTTCGAGTGCGTTGAGACCAATGAAAGCACCTGATTCAATATTCGCAATTTTGTTGTAGCTCAGATTCAATTTCTTCAGATATTCCAGCTCCTGAAAACTGCCGTTTACCAAACTCTTCAGCGAATTATTGGACACGTCCAGTTGTTCTAAACGCTTTACTCCTTGAAACGTTTCGGGAGCTATGAGTTCGATAAAATTGCTGTGCATAATGAGAGTCGTCATGAAGACCAAACCGACGAACGACTTCTTCTCCAACGTCCGGATTTTGCTGTTCGAAATGTCGAGAAGTTTGATTTCGTTGCCGGACAGGTCAAAGGAGTTGCTTACTATTTGTGCTAGGTTGCAGTTAACGCATTTTAAAGATTGGTCTAAATTATCGAAACGGTAATTGGTCGATCGGAAAAACGATGGAGTTGCGTTGACACAAACCGCCATCAGAGACCCTCTTGGACCATAAGAACAAGTCATTGATTGAGCCAAGGTCTGGCAAAGGAGCAACGAAGGGAATATCAAAAATATTGGAAGCAGATTCTGAAAAAGAAAATTGTTTGGAATAAAATGTTGGACACATTATATTTTTTTTGTTTACCATGATGATGATGATGTTACTATGACTTTTTTATAATGTTGGTAATATTCCATTACAAAACCCACCCAATAGTTTTAAACTGTCACGTAAGATAACAGACTCCGGACTACACGGAAGTAACGGACATGATAATGTATTTTCTATGATATAATTTTATGTTTGCTTTTAGTTATAAATGTACCTACGCAATTTTAATAGTAAAAATAATCATATACAAAAAAAAATTACACTTAACGTGTTATAAATCTCTAACTGATAACATCGTCTATATGTTTGAGAGACATTAAAACATTTCGATGTACATATAACAGAAAACGAAACATAAAAAATATTTGCATGCATTTACAAAACTGGGTTTGGTTCTAAGTATAACAATAATTGTAAAACATACACGAAGTTATTTTGCAAAAGATTAAAAATTAAATAAAGGGTTTTTCTCACATTAGGGCATTGAATTTTGAAGAATAATTTTTTTATTATAAATAATTGTTTCGGGTACTTACCATTATTAAGATAATATCCTTTGAACTGAATTGTAAAATGTAGTATTTTCAACGATAAATAAGCTAAACCTACAGTTTCCGATTAATCTGAAAAACTGTTATACTATAACATGTTGTTCAACCGAATGCATTACAAGTAATGTCTTAAAATGGTGTAAACATGACCAAGGAACTGATATGATAAACTTTGGCACTATACATCATACTATAATGTGGTTTGATTTATACATACATGCAGATACATTATACATGCATGCAGAAGCGTCAACATCATCATAAGATTTTCATTATTTAGAAACTTGAATATGGAGCGTACATAAGGCAGTACATTAATCGGCAATAAAAGGTATCAATGACCGTAATTAATATTGTAAAAACAATCTTTAAATTATTATAGTGTTTCGTAAAAGAAATCGTGTACCATCTTTTCTGGTTTTTAATAGGTCCAGTGGTTTGTTATCGCAATTTTATTTGACTTATGCTAAAATTAATATGTTCTAATACATAAATAATACTTAACATTCATGAATGAGTACATCTGTTATCAATGCAAAAGAAAATGAAGTTAAGATCATACGAGGGTGGATTGATAAGTTTCCGGCCTGACCAAGAAAAACAAGGTTTTTAAAAATTTTTTTTTTTTATTTCTCAACATAATCTCCTCCAAGGCTGATACATTTCTCATAGCGGTGTTCCAGTCTATTAATGCCATCTCTATAGACTGATTCGTCAAGCTCCTCAAAATAACCATTTACAGCTTCGATTACTTCTTCATTGTCCGCAAATCTCTTACCGCCAAGCCATTTTTTGAGATTAGGGAACAGAAAATAGTCACTCGGGGCTAGGTCTGGAGAGTAAGGAGGGTGCGGCATCAATTCAAACTTTAGATCGTTGATTTTAGCCGTCGCAACGATTGACGTGTGCGCTGGTGCGTTATCGTGATGAAACAAGATTTTTTTCTTCGCCAGATGAGGTCGTTTAATTTTCACCTCGTGGCTCAAACGTTGCAATAAGTCTGCGTAGTATTGACCAGTGATAGTATTACCCTTTGCAAGGTAATCAATGTATATAATACCTCTTGCATCCCAAAAAACAGTAGCCATAACCTTGTTCGCCGAAAAAATTGTTTTTGCCTTCTTTGGAGTTGGTTCCCCTGGTCCAATCCACTGTTTAGACTGTTCTTTGGTTTCAGGAGTGTAGTGGTGGACCCACGTTTCGTCAACGGTTACGAATCGACGCAAAAATTCGCTTGGATTACGCTTATACAATGACAAATTTGCGGTAGAAATGTTTTTTCGAATCAATTTTTGGTCGACTGTTAGCAAACGCGGCACCCATCTTGCACAGAGCTTTTCCATATGCAAATGTTGGTGCAAAATATGTTGCACACGTTCATATGACATCTTACAGGTCTCAGCTATCTCACGCACTTTCAATCTGCGGTCTCCCAGCACTATTTGATGAATTTTTTCGATCATATCTGGAGTTGTGACCTCAACGGGGCGTCCTGAGCGAGGCCCATCAGAGGTGCTCACACGACCCTTTTTAAACTCGGAAACCCACTGCTTAACGGTTGAATATGACGGGGAGGATGTCCCCAGTGTTGAGTCCATCTCTTTTTTAATTTCCTTCGGCGTTAACCCCTTCAAATAAAAGTATTTGATGACAGCACGATTTTCCTGCTTTTCCATTTTTACGAAAACCACAGAGGCGTCTTGTTCAGCGTGCTGTCAAACCTACACTAGCAAGGAGATCGGGCTGAAACTATAGCTACAAGCTATCCAAGGATGGTACTATAGAATGTCACCTCAAGGTAGGCCTAGTGGCGTCATCTCTTGGTTAGGCCGGAAACTTATCAATCCACCCTCGTAGATCAAGTGTTCGATCTGGCTGAAAATAAAAATATCAAAATGTGGAAGAAAACCTCAACTTATATACATTTAGTCGGAAAATGTTATGTAGTTCAGTGACAAAGCCAAAGGAAGATATTAAATGGAGTGACAAAAGAAGATCTCCGAAGGATCTGAGTAAAAATAGCGAACATTTTATAGGTTTGACTTTGCCTTGCACTATTTTCGTGTTTTTTACTTCGTTTCGCTTCAATGAAATTGCTTTATTGATAAGAACCACCATGAAAATCGTTATTGTATAGTAGTTTTACTTGTGGGGTACGACCTTCCCCAAGGACTCTACAAGAAATTTAAATTTATCTCAATATTTTTCGTAGAACACGTCCCTTATCAAACATTCAAAATACCATATCGCCAAAACAAAATTATAGCATAATTCTGTACTTTTACAGTTTTGATAGATTAATTAATTTTGAATTATTTGTACAGAGAATTTCCATCTTGTCCACGCTAACAACACGATAATTCTTGGAATATTTACGTATTTATCTTTATTATTTGTTTGAAAGTATAAATCATTAAATAAATATCTGATACGGCTGTTTTTAATTGCTGTACAATAGAAATAAGTTATAAATTTGTTATTAATAATAGCACCTATTTAATTAGATTTTATTTACTGTATTCTAATTTTTGACCTCGTCATAACTTTGAGGTCAATTCGTATCTAAAATGGACCACGTGCAATGTACATGTCACAGCCAGGTTGAAGAATCCGGCATTATTTAATACGACGTGGCGGCAGACAAAGCGAAAAACAGTTGACAATGAAACGTGAACAAAACACGTTTTAGGAATGATTGAAAATCTCAAAATTGGAACGTTTCGTTGGCTTTATTCCAAGTTCTCCAGCTTTTTCATCACTAAAATAAACAATTTCTGCAATATACATTAAAATTGAATTTTATTTTATTTCTGTAAAGTGAATTTTCTAAATGAATTTGTCAGTGATAGTAAGTAGGTAGGTAAATAATACATTTTATTTGTGGTCGTGTAGACGGTCGATAGGAAAACATTTACAAAGATAATATACGACCTAAAGGTTGCTTTGGTAGTGATATCATTTATCATTAATATGGCGTTAATCTCCGTGACCGGCGCAAACGGCGGTACCATGCACCGTTTCTTATTCAAAATAATTCGAAATCAATAACATGAAATTATTTTCTAAAAAATTATGATTACAGGGGAAGACCACGAAGTAAACGAACACGGCCCTTGAAGCACCAAGGGTTGAAGTCTTACTAAACTATTATTCGAATTGAATTGGCAAGCAGTAAAACCGATGGCTAATAATAATTTATTTAAGAAAAAACTATTAGAACCGAGTTTAAAAAAGGCACTAAAAGTGTAGAAATAATGATTTATAAAAAACTAGATTTTTCCTTCGTAAGCAAAAATTAATATTGTTTCTCCATAAAACCTATTAACTCCCAATTCACCCTTACAACGTTTTAATTTTATGTAATGTCGTCATCTTAGATTTCAAATACAACCGTTCCACGGGAATGGGATAAAAAGTATTCTATGTCTAAAACGCACTGTTAAGACAGCAGGTAAAAGTTGGTCTGTGTTCTGTCGGGGCTGCCTGCGACGCGCTGATGAGATCCAAAAAGAACGAAATCGCGATTCGCGTCTGGCAGTTTCGACAGAATACAGACCACTTCGAATTATTTTTATTCGATTAAGCTAACGTGCCTATCACGTTGAGGTTGGCTACGCCGGGATTCGTTTTCAGCAACTAGATATCCACACAGGTGGACCTTGTTGGAGCATACGTAATCCTAAAAATGTAGCATCGTGCTATAGATGGCGTTCACTGCGCCATTTATAGTATATTCTATGTCTGTCTCCTGGATGTAAGCTACCTCTCCACCAATTTTCAGCCAAATCGGTTCAGCCGTTCTTGAGTTATATATAGTGTAACTAACATGACTTTCTTTTATATATATAGATTCTTTCCATCTTTTTCTTTGCAATTTCATTAAAAATAATAGTTTTTTAATTAGGACTGTCTATTAATAACCTACTTCTGGTTTGGTAATTAATTAAGTCACTTTTTCTATTTATCTTTCAATTGATCTTACCCAATTATCTTTATCAACATTTAAACCAGTAAGTGTTAATCAATCATATCCGCGTGTCGCAAATATACAATCAGCTGAGTTCGTCAATCATCATATCCGAAACGTTGCATATTATCTGCAGCTAAATATGACGCATTTGTCGTATGTGAATGCCGCATTTCAGTTTGGAAGTTTGACTGTTTATTGATTGACTCTAGTAGTTGCTGTACCTAGTGTAATTCCAAACATTAAGTTCGTAATTCCGGATCTTCAAGCAAAACATTTTACCACCAACTTTTCTAATTGCTTGTTTACCGTGGTTGGAGCGTTTATTCGTCAAAAACTTTTGTAAAAAAAACAAAAACAGAATAGTAGCGCAAACTACGAAGGTAGGAGATAATTATTTTGTGGAAATTCAATTTAGATAATTTGTTTACGTGGTGTCAGGGCTGCATTGTTTTCAGAAGGAAACTTGAGGTGTTTTCTATCAAAACTTTGGAAAATTGGTAAACGTGTTTATAAGTTTTTGTGGAAACGGAAAATTAATGATGGAAAGCCAAAAATAAACTTGCCTGGGCTCTTTAATAAAATAATAAGTTGGTTTACTTAATTTTTCCGAAACCTGGAGATTAAAATGGAGAAAGCACAGCTAAAACAATGAAGCAGGGTATATTTTAGAAGTACAGTGTCTTCAGTTTCATTCTGCATTCTAACCCAACCCAACATATTAGAGATTAATTTTCTCCAATTTACCAAAAGCTGAAGTTTGAAACTGAAAAATGTAGAACAAAGAAATTCTAGACATTTTAAAAACATGAAGAACCCTGTTTGTTTCAATGTTCTAATCTAGTAACTAGTAATGACTAAATTGGTTTATGGTCTTGCAGTTTTAGTGTTGGTTGTGCGAAAATGTAAGATCAATACCAAGACTAAGACTGTCTTCATACTAGTAAGACCAAGGCTAAGACCCAACGAAGAAAATCAAGACTAAAACCAAGACTGTACGAAAAATTTGAGCCTAGAAAAATTATTAAAAGGAACATGCCTAAGTATTAGATTAAAAGAGCAATACCAACACGTAAGATTGAGACCAATACCGAGACCAAATCAGCAAGACGAAGATTAGAAGTGTTTGAGCAAGATCAATACCAAGACTAGGACTGGGACAGGGACATTCTTGGTGTTGATTTTACTTTGTTTATCGCTACCAGTAACTTATTTGAGTTATAAGACGATTTTCCTTAAACTTCTGGAGCATAAAAATTGAAACTAAAGAAGCTTAGTATAGCGAAACAGTGTAAGAATGATTGTACTGCTGAAGCATAGAAATTGGGACATGTTGGAAACAAAGTGTCCCCAGCTTGTTTTAATATTCTAAGCTAGTGTAATATATCTGAGTTTTGAGATGATTTTCCCCAATTTTCCAGGAGCTACAGATTAAATTGAAAAATTGAAAAGTTACAGTTAAAACAACGAATTTGGAACATTCTGAAGGACAATGTCCCCATCTAATTAGCTTTGGTATTACAAAATAACGTAACATATTTGGGTTATAAAATGATCATCTTCAATTTTCCGGAAATGAAGACTGAACTTAAGAAAATTTTATATTCAATCAGCCAAAGTTGGAACGTTTTAGAAACATATAAAGTCCCTAAAATAATGAGACAATTTTCCGAATAAAGCTCAGTCTAATAAAACAATGTAAGGACTAAGGATGTTTACACAGTGAAAACAGTGGAATTCCACATTGGAGCTACTTGGTTTGTAAAGGACGAAGGAGCAAGGAACAACAACAACGCGCCGCGCCGGACCGGACTGCAACAACAAGAGAACAGAAAAGACAATGGGGACAACTCGGGTACCATTTACCATGACGTAATGTCATGTTAACTATGACGTAAGCGTGGAAAACGGGCTGCGCGGCGCACTTTCACGGCCAACCCGATCGACTTGCACTGGGCCCTAACCCTGGCGCATGTATCAGTAACACTCCTCCGCCTTTGGTTATTGTTGTCGCGTAGTCATCTAGTTATCTAGAGCTTTTCTCATTCAGAGATAACTGAAACAATTTTCGTGGAAAAGATACACACCTATAAGGAGCACGGAAGCTGACTATCGATCCAAATTTTCCATCGATGACAATTTTGGACGCATATGAAACGATGTATACAAGAGTTGCTGACGAAATTGAAACGTTGGTGAAAATTCCGGATCTGACCAATTATTGTCGCGTTTGAAGGGTGGTTTTTCGCGATTTCCTGTACGAGATCTTTAGCAGGGATGAAGATTGCTGTTTTTGTTCTTGTTCTTCTAATATTTGGCAAGCTTCAAGGAACTGCGTGATGGGTAAGTTCCAACAAAATCTGGTGCCACTATTTAGAACAACACATTTCCTTTCTTGTCTCAGAACTGGACCTTCGAATCTTCAAAATACGAAATCGCTTTCTGATTTTCACAAAACTTTTCTTATTGAGATTATAGACCAGAACTGCATTTATTATAATCGAAAATCTTCACAATTATATTTTCGAAACAATGAAATCCTATGTACGATTTTCACTACAATTTTTGTTTATTATAAGTAGTTTTCCCGAAAGATCAATCTCTTCGTGATGTCTAAAATTTGCTTTATATTAGAAAATCATCTAGCCCTTTTAATTAATATCTTTTTGCGGCTAGAATTGTCAAAACAGTTTTTCATTTCATTCAGTATTGAATTTCTTCATGAAGTTGTATCGAATTCTGCACAAGCTCAAGTAGCCCCAGAAGATATTATGGTCACTAATTACTAATAAAACCCAAATATTTAACTGTTGACCAACTGCTTCTAATCAAAGTATGAGAGAATCTCAATAGAAATGTAGAAAAACCCCAAATGAGAGACAATTTAAAGCATGTACTAAACTGTCCGCAATTAGAAATGGGTTTTAAATTGTTATCAAAACAATGTAAATAATTATCGTGGTTAACAAGAACCAAGACGAAATGGTGTGAAGAATCTAGTAAATATGGAACGATTAAAAATGAATTTAGATTTATATAACTAATTATAAAACTAAAGAGTTTTCTCAAGTTTGAACACAAATGGTGGAGGAGCCTGACATATTTTATATTATAAATAATGAATTTTGAAGAATAATT